CCGGGCCCCAGGGGCCCACCCTTCCCGAGTTGCCTTCCCAGCATGCCCCGCACTTTTCCCGGCGTGCCCTGCGGCCGTTCCCCAAGCTGGTCTCCCGGAGGACTCGGAGGACTCCGGGCGCCCCTCCGCCATCGGCAGCTCCCTGCAGACTTGCAGGCTCAGACGGGAGCTGTCCACCGCCTGCATCAGGAAAAGGGCCTGCTGGCGTGCAGTGACTACCTTCTTCAACGTGAGATTCCCCCAGGTCCCGTAAATGCTTGGGAAATTTCCCTAACCCCCTCCCGTTCCATGTGACCTTCAAAATCCTGAAAAACCTATGGTCCCAAGGCTTACCCACCTGGGAACAAGTCTCGTTTCCGAAAGTCAGTCAACCTCAGGTTAAGCAATCTAGGGAGAACACCTGCTCAGGATCAAAACGTTTCCTCTTCATTCCTTTGCAGAAATCTTCAGCTTTAGCCTATCTTGAGCTATTATTCATTGTCTAATTGCTTTGTTCCCTAGTAACTCAAATGAAATCAAATTCTGCAGAAACCGAGTTTCACTGTGTCTGGAGGAACAAGGAATGCAAAGGTAGTGTGAGGAAACGAACCATTCACCTTTTTCAGTCCTAGCATAGAAGTAAATACAAACTTGACCCAATTGTATTGTTGATACAATGAATGTGTGACATTAAGAATTTAGAGTTTATAGAGTAATCTATGTGTTCATTAACGAGCTTGAATCTAGAAATAATCTTGTTGGTTGGTAGCCTAATTGTGATTATCCTGTGCATTTTAAAAATGAAGAAACAATCTGTGAGAGCTTACGAGACTTTGTAAAGCCTCACATCTAGTAAGTAGCAGAACTAAGGACTCAAATCCAGGACTCCTCACTTTATTACCCATGTTAAGAAATTCTTTTTTAAAAAAGTCATTGAAGTTATTATTCAAAGCCCTTCACTTATGTTTATTTTGATTAATATAAATGACTGTTCTATGATGACAAATATCCTTTTCTTTGAGGATAGTCTGATTAAAAAAACCACAACACATCCATATATAGAGAGATAGACACTGTAGATACAGAGATATTATCTATACAGAGAGAGAGAAAGAGAGAGAGATACAATATAAGTGTACAATATAGGAAAGGCAGTTGTAGGGAAAGAAAGATAGAGAAAGAGAAAAAGAGAAAGGGAGATCACAAGGTGATATGGCTCAAAAGAGAGACCTCTCAGTTGGGAGGACCTCTGGGGATTTGGGATGACGCTGGGCCACTTGTGGTTCATAATACCAGGATCACACTAATAATTCTCATATCTCAGGCTCAGCCCCACCTGGCCCTTCTGGAGCCTTTCAAGCCCATGGATCTCCTAGGGTAATTTCAGCCTGACTTTGGAGTACAAGGTGGAGAAAAGACAAGATATATTACTCAGGATGGGTAATGAGTATGTCATATACCAAGAGATCTGGCATATATGATCAGGATTAATGGTTTTTATCATCACCCTGGGTTTGATCAGATTTTTTTTTATGTGCTTTTAACGTCTGATGTTAGAAAAGTAAATTCCTGGAAAATTAGTTAAAGGCTGGATTATTTCTCCATTTTGAAGTATAGGCTAAGGATACTTTTACCAGAGTTTGAGAACTTATTTTATAATAATACCCAGATATTTTCTGAGGGAATATGATATTAAAGATTGTGACAGTAATGAAGGGAACAGAGGTGATGAAAAATACTGTTTTTCCTGCACTATATATCCTGGTCTGTATTTTAAAGATAATCTATTGGAAAAGATGTTGATGTAAGAAATTAAAGCTTTAAAAACAAACTCTAAACATTGTACTTTTTAAAAAGAGGATAAGAATATCATCCTGAAATACTTTTTGAATATTACATGTGATTTCATTGCATACTAAAATAATTTAAGTATCCAATTAAACACAGATTTGTAGGGAAAATAGATGGTTCTGTTTAGGGATTTGGTTGAAGAATTAATGCTAAAATGCAATGAAACAAACCCAGATTTATAACAGTAGACATAGTATTATTTCTAAAACACATAATTAGAAAAATATATTTAGCCAATATAGATTTTTTTTTGTTTTTGAAGAATACGTCATTTAGTAAAAATTACAAAGTCCTGAACAAAGAGGTCTAAAGTCATTAATACATAAACACTTCGATTGTAAGCCTTCCCATTGTAGTTTCCTGTAGGAGTAAATAAAGGAGCTTTATTAAACGTAAGGCCCCATCTTTTCTACCTAAGTCTTTTAGACTTTTAGGTTCCTTGGAAATTTCACCCACTAAAATCAACATGTGATTGCTAAATCAGTATTAAGATAGTAAGAATCCAACTGTGAGTTTTTTCTAGATTATTTATTTTTAATTTCTTCTTGGATTCTATATACAAATACTATGCTTTGATATTTTGAAACTTAACAGAAAAGGAGAATTTCTATAATGGGATTCCTACTTATTTTATGTCTATGAAAGCTACTTTGCTTGTTTATTTGCTATATACAGACAGAAAAATGTATGGAACTAATTTTAAAAACCCAATATATTTTCTGTTATGGAATTTAAAATAAGCCTGACAGTAACTTATTTTTTTGTCCTTGGGGAGAAATATCAGAAGCTAATTTCCTCTCTGAGGGCAGATCAAATTTATTGTGTGACAGATGATTTCTTAAACACACTGGATCTGTCCTAAAATACTGTCTTTGGGACATAGGCCTTAAAACTACCTTCTAAGTGAAGGAGGTCTTTGGGATACTTAAGAATGTAAGCTGTCTTGGATAAAGTCTGAGATGAACTATCCTGATTTCAAAATCCACTTACGGAGTACTGTCTAAAGGTTAGCTTTGAGTGTATTGACTTTGTCATAATCTTATCATACATCAATATTTAAGTTTCTGTGGAAGGATTGTGGAGAAATCTGCTAGAGAAAGTGTGCAACATGGTAAAGAGAATTGTAGGAAGAGAAATGGCAGCCCTGCTTAAGCAGTGAGAATAATAAAATGGTCATCTGGAGGTTTCCAGAGACAGTTGGCAAGGTTCAAATCCAAGCTCTACCAGGTAATAACTATGTAAGGTTTCACTGTACAACGGAGATAATATATAGTACATTTACCTCATAGTGTTGTTGTAAGGATTATAGAAATACAGGCAATGTGTATGGCATGTAGTAAGCAGTCAATAAATGCTTGCTATTATCATTATAGCTGAAAACTTAAGCTACTTACCTCTACCTGTAGAGACGGTGAGTGATGAGCTAAAAATATGGCCTAGATAGTTATGTTTGAGGTTTCTTTTATAATCTTAATCCATCTGGCTGGCCTCATACTAATTTTCCTTGTTATACTACCTATGATGTAACCTCCACCCCCCAGTTGTCTAGCCTATATACCCTTTCAGAATTCTTTTAGCCTAATATTCATCTGGGTTTCTTGTTCACTCCTCCAAACTCCTACGCTTCCCCTTGTTGTAAAATCCTCCAACTGTACCCTCCAGAATTCCCAACCCAGAGGCACAAACTCTTCTCCATCCTCCACCATTTTAAATACTATGATCTAGTTTAATCACAAACTGGCTTTTTGTCCAGGACATTACTTCCTTTTTCAGGAGGAAGCTGCTCATTTGCCTCGCTCTTTAGTGCGATTTCCAGACTATTTCCCTTTAACTTTCTTCGCCCGCAGTCACCTCAGAGATCTCACTGACACTATTAGAACAGTGTTGGGAATGATAATAATTGATATTGGTAGGGTTAAATGGGGACAGTGCATGTAAAATGTCTGGCATAGTGCTAAGAACATATGAAATTCCCAGTAAATTTTAGTTTTTGCTATTATATTTACCTTCTAAGTGAAGGAGGTCTTTGGGGGTTACTTAGAATGTAAACTCTCTTGGGAGTCTGAGATGAACTGTGATACCCAAAATAACTACACCTAAGAAATCATGAATTGAGCCCATTCCTGACTATTATCTCCTATGTGTTCTAGTCCACTGACCTTCCTGCTGTTTCCCAGTTCTATCCCTGCACACATGTTCTCTCTTCCCTCTCTAAGCTGGAGCACAGTTTAGATTCTGTTTTTCTATGAGTCATTTTTTGGTCAGTATTGTAGACTCCCTTACTTTGTTGTCTTTTGACACATTCTCAAACCTAGATGTGCCCAACTGCTCATCTTGTCTTCACCTGCACCCAGGCTGCTTAGTGCTGCTGGGGAAAATCATACTACTGAGTAGGCTTACATTACTGTAAATTCATTGTCACCGGCTTCACCTGGATTCCTAGTATTTCCTGTCAATTTCTTGTCAATCCCCACTATGTTTTATTAGTCAACTCTATATTCCATTCTCCACTGTGCTTATTTCAAACCTTTTTCAATCTCTTCAAAGCACACATTCTCTACTGGTATGTTTATGGCAGCACAATTCACAATAATAAAGATATGGAATCAACCTAAGTGTCCATCAACAGAGGATTAGATAAAGAAAATGTGGTGTATATACACAGTGGAATACTATTCAGCTTTTAAAAAAAGAATGAAATCATGTCTTTTGCAGCAACATGAATGAACCTGGAGGCCATTAGCTTAAGTGAAACAACTCAGACACAGAAAGACAAATACCACAGTTTTCACTAATAAGTGGGAGCTAAAAAAATGTGTCCACATGGATGTAGCATGTGGAATGATGGACAGGGGAGACTCAGAGGGTGGGGACTGAGGGGGTGGGAGGCAGGGTGGAGGATCGGGGGTTACTTGGTGGATACAGCGTGTATTGTTCCAGTGATGCACTGAAGGCCCCGACGTCACCACAACACAGTATATCCATGTAGCAAAATTGCACTTGTACCCCAGGAATATATACAAATAAATACATAAAAGCTCCTCTTTATGTTGTTATTATTTCTTTATTCTTTTTTAAGTTGACATAAAATTGTATATATTTATCATATACAACATGTTTTGAAATATGTACATATTGTGTAATGGCTTAAACTAATTAACATATGCCTTATTTCACATAATAAAAATTCCTCTTTTCTCAAGTACATATACCCTTACAATAGAAATGAGTTAGTCATTTGTTCATTGACTAAATATATATTGAGTACCTTCTGGTTGTCGTTACAGATTCTAGGGGTACAATGGTGAACAGGCGAATGGAATGGTGAAGTCAAGTCCTGGAGATGACTGGTGTTAGTCCCCAGTTGTACTAAACCTGTTTTCATGGAGTTTACACAAGAAGTGGAGACAAAAGACAGACAATAACCAAGTAGTCAGTAAACCAATAAAATAATTTCAGACAGTGGTAAGAGAGATAAGATAATAATAGCAGTGTGATAAGATAGAGACCCGACACTGCAGTGGGAGACTAATTTTAGTGGCTAGGGAAAGCCTCATTTTATCCAATACAGTGAAGGTAGTTTCACTGTTAAAAAAAATACATTTTACATTAAAGAGAGTATATGCATATTTATTTACTTAATCGATTTTCAAAATAGCCTTTCTTATTATACAGATGAAAACCGAGGCTCAGGGAATTAAGGAAATTGCCCAAGGCCACACATAGCTACTAAATGACAGAGCTGGGATTCAAACGTTGGTCCAATTAACCCAAAGCCCATGCTGTCTCCACTATACCATATTGCCACTCACCAAGACAGGCTCTTGAGAAAAAGGGCTTGTGTTACTGTTAGGTTTGAACAATCTTTTTTAGTATGTTTGAGGCCTTTTTTAACCTGTTTTCTACATCAAAAATAGTAATACACAATATTTATGTGATGTTTTTCCAGGCACTTTTGTTATCATCATCTCACTATCACATAACCACTCAGTAAGATACAGAGCACTCACAGACCTTCGAGACCACTTTTATAACTGAAATGTAAAAGTTGAGTGATTTTCCATGATTACATAGCTGTGGAATGGTGGATATAAACTAGATTCGGATTTCTTGGCTTTTAATCTTTTTTTTTTCTCCAATATGCCTGTACAAAATGTTTGTTTCCTTTTAAAGTACTGAGTTTAAGAGTTTAAATCCAAATAAAACCTGAGAATTAATTTTCATTTCTGATGCAGAATACCAAGGATTTCTCCATTAGTCCTGGTAACTTCATTGCGAAGAAATGGTAAAGAGAATAAAAGGGAGTAAGATAAACACTGTACAGGTATAACATTAAATTATTCTTTCTTTTTCTAATTTTATACAAATGAAAAAAAGGATACCCAACTGCAAAGTCCCTGAGATGCTGTTTAAATTCAAGTACTTCTGAAATACAAATATGTGATAACTTATTTGCAGCTTAGGAAAAAAAGCCATTTTTGTTTGTCGCGTTGTTGTTGATGATGTATATGTGTTGTTTGATAATTACTAAGAAAGTATACTCTGGTTTCTCTGCAGACCATATAAATATTTTGCCTTTTTATAATTATTAAGGAAGTAATAATGAAAATGGAAAAAGAGCCTTTTTGATGTTATTCTGTCATTGCATTGTCAAAAGAAAATATATTCCCCTCTTTTCCAAAAGTCAGCTGGGTTTTATCAGCTTTGCAAAATGATGAATGAATGCCTTGTTCATTATTATTGCTTAAGTCATTCGTATTTATGCCAGTGATTCACGGATTATGTTTTGATTGTTCTTAAGAGATGAAAACACTTTCTTGCTGATGAATAAACACTGCCACTTTTAAAATATTTGTATGCAAAATGTCTTTAAAGCCATTATGAAATGCTTTGCAAGAGTATTAGGAAGCTGTTTTTCGAAAGGCATTTTTTTCTCCACCTTTTCTTTCATGCTAAGCAGCCCAGTTGAAAGGCTTTTCAGAGTTAACTTGTTTAAGCAATACCAGTGTTTTAGTGTAATGAATAACTTTTTATAGAGGACAATCGCACACAATTCCGCATGCCGGTGTTTCTGTTTCTGTGCTCCACCGATGCAGGGGTTCTGTGGTAGAATCTCTTTCTTTGAGAAAAGCTGAAGCGATGAAAGCCCTGATTAACCTCTGATATTCACGTGGTGCTCTTGATCTTGAGGACTGCAGCAGTCACAAAGCTTTAATGGCAGCCATATGCTTAGGGTATTGTGGATATGGGTGACCCAAATGTGAACTTGGGGGGTGACTGATGCTAACTGCTATTTGTTTCAGGTTTGGTGTGGAGATTACTGATGAAGAGTTTGACTTACTACTTGACAGAATCCCCTTGATGAAGATGGAAATGTCAGAGACCCCAGTTCATGGCCATGTTGGATTCTTAGCACTCCTTTTCCACATTTTCTCATGTCTTTGTAATTTTTTTATTCTTGTTTTTAATACAGAGAATGTACCCCTAAAAGTACTAGGATTATTTAAATTTTCTCTTTATTGCCTAGTATCTTACTTATTAATATTTTCTAAGTGACGAAGGATTTTTGAAAAAACATTGTTAACAAAAAGGTAGAATTTTTACATGATGAACTACGGCAATGCATTTGAAACTATTTAATGTCTTAGAACCTGAATAGTGGACATGGGAGGATAATGTGTGACTGAGATGACAAACGAGGCATGTGAACTGTGTTTGCAGAGTTGGAAAGAAAATTGCAGTAAGTGACAAAAGTCAAGTCCTGGAGATGACCGGTATTTAGTCCCCAGTTGCACTAAACACTCCCCCACACACTGACCTTTTACCCCCTCACTCACCTCCCAAGGGACTCCCATTACGAGACATCTTTCTACTTTCTTTCCAGAGGAGTCTGCCTGGACAGTAGAGTACACACCCATTGCCAATGGTTGTGTTAAAGGCAGAGCAAGAATGCTTTCTGAAATACTCTCAATCTGTATTTTTCTATCTGGGAACCCAAATTTTTACTCTTTTCTAAAATCTTTTCATGGATTTTATAGGGTAGTTCAAGGCTTAAGCATTTAAAATTCTGATCAGTATTGACCATTTTATTCCTCGAGTACTTTAAGGCATGTTGCAGTCCCAGGCATCTGATGAGTTGGGCTGAAGCCATTGAAAGATGGGCTGCTTCTTCCCAAAGATACTTTTTTTCCCAGAGCAGTTTCAGAATATAACTATCTTCATCCCATATGCCTCCTGGACCATCCTCCAAATCTCATGATTATCTCTTTAGCCACGAAACCCACCCATGTTTTCTGTTAATTCTTGATAGCAGGGTGGAAGTTAGCAACCTGGTTTGGCCTAAAGGGCATGAGAAGAGCATGCTGCAAGTCAGAGAATGTCCTCAGACAGAGTCACAGGTGCTGGCAGTAGAAAGCCCTCGAAGTGAAAAAGAACCAGGAGTGCTGAGGAAGTACCAGTAGGCCTTACCTAAAGGTGAGCATCTCCTACCGTGCAATTATTCCATAGCATTTCCCAAGCTTACTTGACCTTCTCTCATGGAGCATCTTAGAGGCTAGCATTCCACAGAGCATGGGAATGCTACCTTAGTTGAGTAAGTTATTCATCTAAGTATTAGCCTTTATTTTAGGAGGTCAAGATCAGGTGCCTGAGAGAATGAAATGAAGCAGGGGCAGGGGTTGTTTGCTTTGTTTGGTTTTGTTTATTTGTTTGTTTTTCGAGATAGAGTCTTGCTCTGTCGCCCAGGCTGGACTGCAGTGGCACAATCTCGGCTTACTGTAACCTCTGCCTTCCAGGTTCAAGTGATTCTCCTGCCTTAGCCTCCCGAGTAGCTGGGATTACAGGCACGAGCCACAACGCCCAGGTAAGTTTTTTATATTTTTAGTAGAGACAGAATTTCACCATGTTGCCCAGTCTGGTCTTGAACTCTTGACCTCGGGTGATCTGCCCACCTCGGCCTCCTAAAGTGCTGGGATTACCGCGCCTGGCCTGTTTATTTGTTTATATATGGGGCTTGTAGGGAAAGAGAAATGAAAGCAAGTTGTTCTGAAGGGAGTTTCCTGAACTTCCAGAAGGCAGCAGGGTAGAGGCACTGAGGCCCAAGTGTCAGTGCCAAAGGAAAGCGGCAGGGTGGAAAGAGAGAGGTGGGGCACTAACCATAGAGCCGACATGAGCCTGGCCTATTCCCCTCAATTTCAGGTGGATAAATGTAAATGACAGGTCACATCTCTTTGAATTCTTTATATTATTGACTCAACACATAAAATGACAGATTGTAATTTCGTTGTTAACATTAACAAATGCCTCTACTTACCTGATATTTTACATACCCAAACTCATTATTATTCCATTTTTGCCTGTGAGAAAACAGATACATAGAAAGATTAAGTGAGTTGCGCAGGTTACAGAAGTCAGTGAGTGCACACTGTCAGCTAAACCTAGGTCCATCTGATTTGAAAGTCTACAAGAGTTTCCACTATTTCACATTGCATTTCTGAATTATACAACAACAGAAATAATTGTTCCCTTTAATAAGCGTTTATTATGTGCCCCATGCCCTGCTAAGAGCTTGACATGCGTTATTTAATTTAATGGTAGAGACCGTTTTCCTCAATTCCGCTTAAGTTCAGTGATGGATTGCTAACTGTCCATCTCGTCTGCCAGAGAGAAGGATGGTATTCATTGCTTGGTGGTGTGGTGTAACGGCCCCTGAACTGGGTGTTCGGAGACTTGGATGACAAGAGTTATAGCTTGGCTTTTCATTTCATAATGACACGCCCCTTGTCAAATCCTTAATATCCCCTTGCTCAGATTTTCTCATCTGTAAAATGAAAAGTTTAGCTCAAAAGATCTCCAAGGTTCTCTCTAAGTGTAAAATTCTGCTTGAAGCAGTTTTTATTCTTATCAATATTAATGGAGATTTGAGGCAGCCACTTAGTATGACTTAAGAAGATGCTGTAACAGAAGCATGTGTCTTCCTGGTAAATAAGAAGAATTAACAAGCAATAACATTAAAGTAATAAATTCATTTTTAGAGTCTACTTTATAATCATCAAATTAAAATCAATACAATAAACATTTATGAGTACTTGTGTTTACAGTCAAGCATTCCTGAATTGTAAAAATAAATGTTTCTTTTAGAGAATTTTTTTGTAATTTTGTCACAAAATCTGCATATATGATCGAGAACTTCATTTCTTATATATATAAATGGAAATGGAAAAGAAACATAACTGTCAAGTTGAGGAGAAAGAAGAACTATAGAAAAGAGTATATAGAATGGTTAACAGTTCCAGGAGTATTAGCGATATAAAAATCCATATCACTTTAGACTATTTTTATTTTACTTCTTTGTAAGTCCTACCTTTAGTGCCCCAGTTTTTAAGGATACACATAAATACTAAAACTTTTTAAAAAACTGAATTAAACTCAGGAGGCTGAGGCAGGAGGATCACGTGAGCCCCACAGTTTGAGGCTGTGGTGAGCTATGACTGTGCTACTGCACTCCGGCCGGAGTGACCACATGAGACCCCGTCTCTAAAACAAAGAAACAAATAAAAAACTGAATGAAAATTAATGTTTTGACCATAATAAGATGTTTGAAAAAACTGTGGCAAAAGATGACAAAGTCCATTAAGAACAAATGGTAGACTTTGTGACATGCTCACACGAGTTTCATCACCAAGAAACCAATGGAATTACTTCGCTGGGTTTGTGACTTACCTCATTCATTTTATAGGCAGCTGTCCCACCAGGAATACCACGTCCAAGAGCAGGATTCTCCTTCCAAAGTGTGTGTGTGGACTGGAGAAGCAGCCTTTGGAAGATGGAGCTACCCAGACTTTATAGAGCCTGCTTTAATTCCTTGGAGGTCTGCAATCTCCAGGTTGTCAGCCATCCAGGACCGTGGCTGTTGGTGAGACAGAGTGCTTCCTTCTGGGTGAAGAACTCTGTATTACTTTCTGAGGGCTACCATCATGGGGCACCACAAACTGGGTGGCTTAAAATGACAGGAATGTATTCTCTCACAGTTCCAGCTGGAAGTTCAAAATCAAGGTGTGAGCTGGGGCACGCTCCCTCTGAGACTCAGGAGAATCCTTCCCTGCCCTTTCCTTACTTCTCAGGGTGACTGGTAATCCCTGTGAGCCTTGTTCTGTGGCTGTGCCACTCTCATCTTTGCCTCTGCTGTCATATGGCTCACCGCGCGTCTCTGTCTCTGTGTCCGAATTTCCTTGCTCTCATAAAGACACCAGTCTTCTCAGATTGAGGGCTCAACCTACTCCAGTATGACTGTGTCTTAACTAGTAACATCTCCAACTACCCTATTTTCAAATGAAGGCATATTCTGAGGTGCTGGGGATAAGGACTTTGACGTATCATTTGGGGACACAATTTAACACACGACAAACCCTGTTATAGATCTAGCATGTCTAGTTTCTTACAAATTTTCATTGGGGGGAGGGTACAAATAATAATTAGCTCTTGTGCACTCTTGTGCATTCTCTGACAACAGCAGTACCAATAGCTAACATGTAATGCCTACTACTTGTCAGGCACTAAATACTAACTCATTTCATTCTTACGACAGCCCTGCTTCACATATGAGAAAGCTGGGACACAGAAAGCAACTTGCCCATTGTCCTCCAGTTAGCAGTGGTGGAGCCAGGGTACAAATCCAGACTGCACCTGCCCGGAGCCCACATACTCAATACCACCCTGCCTTCTGGACAGTCAGGACAAGCAGTTGTGCCTCTGCTACCATTACTGTGCCAACAAGTAAGGTTACACTTGAAATGTGGCTTGCAATGCAAGGTTTAGCTTTTATAGGCAACTCACTTATGTTTTCTGGTTACTTATTATTTTTTTAAGTCTGAATTCAATTTAGACTTAGTATTAAAAAAAGAATACTAAAATCAATGATTTTTATATGGATTACATATTGAAATGATTATATTTTAGATATATTGGGCCACATAAAATATATCATTAAAATTAATTCCACTTAAAAGCATCTTTTTTAGTGTGCTATTAGCAAATTTACAGTTGTGAATGTAGTTTTTAGTGTATTCCTATGGAACAGCTTTGAATTAGACAGCAAATTTTTAAAATTAGAGTAGGCAGCATGATGGAAGAAAGAAATTGATTCAGTCTTTTGTCCCAAGTAAATCAGTTCCTCAGGTCTCTGTGCCTTTGTTTCTCTATCTATACAATGTGATAGAAAACTTGAATTTTCCTCACAAGTTTAATTTAACTAATAAATTGAAGACAGTCGATTATGAATCATTTTGCCTAATGTTTGCAGGAGGCTAGACAATTACCCAGCGAAGCCAGAATATTGTAATAAAATAGCTCATCCAGATTAAATATGAATTTTAAGTGTTTATTTATTACTTTCTTTAAGCAAATAGTTGTGTATCTTTGAACTACATAGAATCCAGAACACATTTTTTTTTTTTTTTGAGACAGAGTCTTGCTGTGTTCCCCAGGCTGGAGTGCAGTGGTGTGATCTCGGCCCACTGCAACCTCTGCATCCTGGGTTCAAGTTATTCTCCTGCCTCAGCCTCCCGAGTAGCTGGGACTACAGGCGTGCACCACCACGCCTGGCTAATTTTTGTATTATCTAGGCTGGTCTGAAACTGCTGACCTCAGGTGATTTGCCTGCCTTGGCCTCCGAAAGTGCTGGGATTACAGGTGTGAGCCACTGTGCTTGGCCAGAACAAAACATTTCCGTGGCGAGGCCTGGCTTGCTTGGCTCTAAAGCCAATACTTTTCTCATTATACGTTCCAGGTAATGAAAATTATGATAAAAATACAAAAAATTAGGTGGGTGTGGTGGCAGGCACCTGTAGTCTCAGATACTTGGGAGGCTGAGGCAGGAGAATGGCGTGAACCCGGGAGGCGGAGCTTGCAGTGAGCCGAGATTGCACCACTGCACTCCAGTCTGGGCGACAGAGTGAGACTCCGTCAAAAAGAAAAGAAAAGAAAAGAAAATTATGCTTAATAATTTTTAGGTGAGGTGATGATCAGCTGTGCTTCCCCTCAGCAGTGGAAGATGTAGGTAGATAAATGAGATGAGGTTAAAGCTTCTATGCTTTTATTTGACGTGATATATTAATTTGTGTAGCCAATTTTTACATAAACCAGAATCTCAAAACTTTTACTCTGTACTTTGCTGGGACTGTGAAGTTGCCACAGTGGCACTTTCATATGAATAAATTCAGAAAATAAAACCACTTAGAGACGATAAGATATTCAGACGTTTCAAGCATTTCATGTGTTTTTGTCACTTATTATCTTTTTTGTTGTTGTTGTTGTTTTTTGAGACGGAGTCTCGCTCTGTCGCCCAGGCTGGAGTGCGGTGGCGCGATCTCGGCTCACTGCAAGCTCCGCCTCCCGGGTTCCCGCCATTCTCCCGCCTCAGCCTCCGGAGTAGCTGGGACCACAGGCGCCGCCACCGCGCCCGGCTAGTTTTTCGTATTTTTAGTAGAGTCGGGATTTCACCGTATTAGCCAGGATGGTCTCGATCTCCTGACCTTGTGATCCGCCCGCCTTGGCCTCCCAAAGTGCTGGGATTACAGGCGTGAGCCACTGCGCCCGGCTTTATTATCTTTTAAGTTAGAAAAGCAATAAAGGGTTATCGTAAATATCCAAATATAAAGTGTATGTAAAATGAAGAGGGAAAGTTTCTGCACTTATCGTCTTTGCCCAAATCCGGCCTTCAAACAGAAACCAGTTAATTATTAATTTTAACATAGAAGTCAGTACATTAGTTTAGTGGCTCTAAAATGTTTGATAAATTATCCCAGTGTTCAATATGAACCTGTTTATGGCTG